AAAACGATATGAAAGTAAAATGAATATAAGTAGTAGCCGTAAAGAGACCGAATGAGCGACGAGAAAATGGTGCCGGACGCACTTCTCTGACTCGGCCGTTGAGCGCGTGGCACATACACGAAATTGAAAAGCGCCGTATTAGCGGATTGTCGAAAAGCGGGGCCCTACTGTATCAGATTAGAATCAAGAATAATATTTACAGTAGGCATCGTTCAGTGATATCGGGCCTTGTGACGGGCTAATCACTTTTCCAACGAGTCGTAGCAAACGTCTTAAGTAGATCACCCAACCTCCAAAAAGCAGATCCCGCAAAAGCGGGACAAATGACAAGAAAAAGAAGAGGAGTTGTTCAATGACACTGCTGCAATTTATAAATTTGGAAACCACTCCCCAACTATTTGAGTAGGTGCAGATTCTAGAATTTCAAATTTTATTTTACAGGAGGATTCAATATTATTAACATTTACAGAAGCAGTATTTAGTATTTGAAACCAAGTATCAGATTTTAATAAACAGTAATATTTACAATTGATAAATTTGGAAATGACTCCCTAACTATTTGAGTAGGTGCAGATTCTAGAATTTTCAAGTTTTATTTCACAGGAGGATTCAATATTATTCATATTATTAACAATTACAGGAGTAGTATTTGGTATTCAACCAAGTATCAGATTTTAGTAAACAATAATATTTACAATTGATAAATTTGGAAATGACTCCCTAACTATTTGAGTAGGTGCAGATTCTAGAATTTGAAATTTTATTTTACAGGAGGATTCAATATTATTAACAATTACAGGAGCAGTATCTAGTGTTTGAAACCAAGTATCAGATTTTAGTAAACAATAATATTTACAATTGATAAATTTGGAAATGACTCCCTAACTATTTGAGTAGGTGCAGATTCTAGAATTTCAAGTTTTATTTTACAGGAGGATTCACTATTATTCATAATATTAACAATTACAGGAGCAGTATTTGGTATTGAAGATGTGATTAGACTGGAAGTTGATAATGAAATTAATAATTTTAATGGTAGGATAAATATTATGTCACGCAGTTGAGTTTAGACTTTTGATAGGATTGAGGAAGATCAGAATTTGACCAAACAACGTAACGTTAGGAATAAGGCATAAATTACTGGAAGACGTCGTGTAAACGGAATAATATTTATTATAATCATATATGACATTGTACAATGAAATGGATTTAATTAAGGTAATTAAGATTCTAGCCATTTGGCTAGTATAAAGTATTGTGGAATGATTGTAAAGGATGCGGTAGATGATCTTGTCATTCCCCATCTGAGAGATGGGCAAAGTCGTCGTGTTAGCGAAGGTCTCGCGTTCCTCTGCGTCGCCTCGTAGCCGCGGTGATATGATTATTCAGACGTACTAAATCGCGAACTATACGACGTACAGGACAGAATTTGTGAATCGTGCCAATAAGGCGTCCTCCAGCTCACCATAAATATGTGTTACGTTACGAAACAGCAAAGTTTCGGATCGGGGCGGATCGTACGAATTTACGATACAGACGATGTTTAAAAGACCTTAGAATTGGAACGTGGAATTTGATATCATATATAGAACACTGGCGTGGGATGCATTAGCTATTATTATTATTACACTATGGATACGAGAATAAAGACCACTGCTTGGGAACGTGTTTCTATCAGTGAAAAGATATCTTCAGCGGGCAGCTAAGAGTAGAATCTGTCAGTGATGGGGTGTCACACTTGATATTTCGTGGTCGACGGTGTGATTTGATTATTAATTTAGATGTGCATGCACCAACTGAAGAGGAGGATGATAATGTAAAGGATAGTTTTATGGATCAGTTTAGTGGATTCCACATGAAAATTCTGCTCGGAGACTTTAGTGCCAAAATTCATCAGGAGGTTGTTTGCAAAGCAATTATAGGGCGTGAGAGTCTACATGAATTTAGTAGTGAAAATGGGTTGAGGTTTGTGAATTTTGCCACATTGAAAAATCTGATCGTCAGGAGCACATGTTGATATTTAAAAGCACATGGCATGACCCATAACCACATGGATCTCCTGATGGGATGACCCATAACCGCATTGATGACGTTCTTATCGATAGGAGCAGAGAAAGAAACATCCTAGACGTGCGATCTTATAGGGTAGAAGACTGTGACTCTATTATTTAGTGACAGAGTCAAGACTCTAGGTCAGAAAAGAGGCGGGGCAAATATACAGAATTGAGAATTTCAGCGTCCAAAGACTGAGCGATGTAGAAATTAAGCAAGAGCATCACTTAAAAATTTTGAATAATTTTTAATCGGCGAAAATTCTGAAGAGAGTGCATAGGATAGGGGAGTAGACGTCAGTAAGGCCTGGCAAAATATACGGGCTAACATGAAAAATTCAGCTGAGGATTTTGTAGAGAGAGAGAGAGAGAGAGAGAGACGAGCATTTGATAGTCTCAATAGAGACCAAATGTTGAGCGATATTCTCGTGTTAGGGATACCG